GCAAGCTTCCGCCCTCATCCCAGGAGGCGATATCCTCTGCATCCGGAGACCGACCACGCACTGCGACCACGACGGTTACTACGGTGTCATCCTCACCGAAGCGCGGCCGCAAATCCAGTATAGCAACAGGCGATCTCGACCAGAATGCGGCCCCGAGTCCGGTCCATCCTCTCTTACAATCGGCCTTGACCAAGTCAAAGGAGGTGTTGGGTAACGAAGTCTATGCAGCCCTGGAAGTCACTGTTACCGATGCGCTTGCGCTGTCTACCCTACTGTCATCCAACAAGGCCCCATCGGGCGGTGTTTCTATTGTCAATGGCTACCTTCCATCAGACAGACAAGCTAGGCGCAAGGCTGACAGTGTATGCCGCAGCTTAACTGAGCTGTGTCTCGCACTATCTGATGATCAACTTCGCCGGCAGCCGTCCACGGCCCTGGAGGTAAAAGCGGATGAACAACAAATTAATGGCCACGATGACGACGATACGATTACACCTACCCCTCCGTTTCGCCGAAGCACAATCCAGGAGCCAGAGAGCCTTTCCAGACGGCAGAGTAACAGCAGAGTCACCAGCCGTTTAGAGGCACGTCGGGCTAGCATGGCGAACAACGCGGCTTCAGACAACCAAAACAACAACAAGGGCACCGATCAGGGTCCAGATGCCAAACTAACACAGTCGCCTGGATCTTCGGCGCCTGTGAGACGATTGAGCCGACTCTCAACTTCGTTGCGGACCAAGAGGGTGCACACCGATGATGATAATGCGCCGGATCAGAGTCCACAACCTCGATCGATTCAAAGAAGCATGACAGACATCACCAACCCAGCAGCAACATATCGTGTCTCGCCCCGGCAACGGATTTCGCATGGATATACAGCGTCGCAATCGATAGCCGACTCCAGCCCTGAGCGAAATGTCAGATATTCAACCCCATCCCAACCGTCGCAGCTCCCTCAACCTCGTACCCCAACACTTTCGCAGTCAGCGATCCCGCTCCGTCGGAGCATATTAACGCCCGGCTATGTCCCCGCAACATCCCGCTCCAACATTCAGGCGGGTTCACGCCGATATGGACTGTCTCCTGGTATTGGCTCTGCCGCTCTCGGTGGTGAGATGCCACTCGAGGACGCCATGTCCACTACCCCTCGCCAGGAGCCTTCGCAGACAAGAATCATCGCTCCATCGCAAAAGCTGGCTGCTAGCTACACACCGATTGCGCAGAACCGCCTGCGCGCGAACAGCCTTGGAGCGCGACGATTCGGTCTACGGCAGCGGCCGATGGCCGTTTCTGATGAGGCCGTCAATGGTCTCGATCAGCGCGTTGACTAAATGTTTGCGTCCGTTATCTCCAAAAAACTCCACATCGTTTACGCCCTCCACCTACCTTATAACGCAGCGACTCAATCTTGGTATTTGATTTTCAGTTCAGCCGGCGTTACTCTGTTTTCATTGTATTCCGCGGCCTGCCAGGCACACATTATGTCGAGGTGTACGAAGCGCTTTCCGCCTGCATCTTTAACGAGGACTTCCGATTCAAGACCTGATTGACTGACTGACCTTTGCAAAACAAACCAAAACACATGCATGCATTCTTGAACTCAATGCATTGTACGAGCTTATCATTCCGTTCAAGCGACCCTCACGGACCATTGTGTTTCTATTCTTTTTTTTCTTACATATCCATACAAATCCTTGGTTGCTGTCAAAGTCAACCCCAAGAGAGGGTATGACTACGACACAGCACAAGCTCAATAAGTAACGGGATTCACGATCTGTTTGTCTTGTCATCACCTATTCTTTTCTGACTGTCATTGATACTCGTTCATCTTTCTTACCATTTTATCTTTTCATGTACAAATATTCGGCTTTGCGGTGATGACACGCGTTAATACTTTTCCTATTTCTCCCGAATGATGAACGGAGTGTTGTTGGACCTGGTGCTTCGGTGGTATTATTTGTCTTGTCTTCTTTCCTATACATACATACATACACATCCTTTCATTGTCTCTCATTACTACCAGTTCATTTTTCCTTTTTTTTGATCTCATAGAGGGGGTATGTTATTCCTACGATTCTTGTTTCTTATTTCACTTTCCTTCTGTTCCTGTCAATACATGATGAATACGACCTCATTTTGGCATTTTCTTGCTTCTCTAATACTGCGTAGCTATTCACAACAAAATGGTAGATGATACATGTAATTCATCAATAGTACACCAAGCGATGAATAAAAATAACCGGCAACCATTCGAATACAATCATCACCCTAACTCCCACTTACTAGTTACAGTACGTACACACCCAAATCTAAATATGGCATACAACCCATCATCCGGACAATTTCCTGTAGATCGATCGATCGACTACTAACTAACCATTACCTAGGTTGGTTAGTTAGTTACTAAAAACTACTTACTAGTTACTACGTACTGTAAGTTACTAGTTAGTTAGTTCTTTCAATCAGTCAGCCAGTCAGCTGATTGATGATCGACGGGCTCGGTCATTTTTGGTTCGGTTCGTCTGAGGTCAGGTCAGATGATCATGTGGTTTCATTTTTTTCTCTTTCAAGTTTCTGCAACGTAACTGGGATCAGATGATCGTCGGGGGGTGTGGTGGTCAGGTGACTGATCTTGCTTATTCTAGTATTGTTTGATGACGTTATGTGTCTGTTCTTAGTTACTGGAAGAGTGAAGAGGGGATTTTTGTTGATAGCACTGATAGGTAAGAGTGATAAATATACGTCTACTGCTCAGTAGCATACTCTGAAATTGGAATGGTCATGTTCCATCACACTAGGTTTTCATTTCATTTTGTAGTATCGATAGTCCTGGTCCCTGATTGTACATGCCTGAGAAGCCCGGAGATGAAATTTGAAAGGGACCCTTGCATATGATAGAGAGAAAAACACAGCTGGGTAGCCCCTCCTGGGTTTAGATGTTTCATGTGACAGGTAAGTGAGGATAGTTGCTCGACAGGAAAAGAAGAGAGGATCAGTGGAACGGAACAAAGACAGTGCGAGTAGGGGATGGTGTGTGGAAAAGATTGCGAGTTGTGTGAGGGGGGCAGATCCCAGTTTCATTGTAGGTTTGAGGTTTCGGAAAATAAGGAAGAGAGCAACTTTTCGATCAACGGTGATGGAAAGGCAAGACTAGGTAGGATACGGAACGAAACTGGCGGGCAAGAAGGGAGAAGTCAGGAACATCAGTGGGAGGACATGATGTCGTTGGTTCCGAGTGCGGTTCATTCAAGGAGATAGTACTGGTATCTAACAGGCATGCATGGTCCGCCTCAGCAGGCTCTGGCTTCTTGCAAAGCCCAAGAAGCTCCACATACGAGAGAAATTATAGAGTAACAGAGAATATGATAGTATGAGAAAACGACAGCATCAAGAATCAAAAAGGAGTAGCACAAGAGGGGGCAGTGGTTATCGCGCGACTAGAGGTTTTTCGGGAAGAATGTTCATCAAGGGTCGAGCGGGTGAAGAGGGCGAAGCTGTGCTGGTCGTTTACTCCTGAAGCTGGCTGCGGCGGGTCTTCTCAGCCTCGAGGTTCTCGTACAGAAGGTAAAGAGCCTTCTCGTTCGCCTGAGCGCTACCCATGATGGTGAACATACGTTCGCCCGTCTCGTCATGGGGAGCCTTGGCAATGGAGATCCGGGCTCCAGAGCTCCTGCGGATCTCGGTGATCTTGCTACCACCTCTGCCAATGATGCAGCCAACCATGTCAGCGGGGATGCTGATGTTCTGTGTTTGAATTTCCTCGCCATCTTCGGTGACAAGCGGGTAACCACGGTTGCTGGTGTCGGGGTTGGATCGCCTGCCGTAGCCACCGGACTGGTCGCTGAAGTCGGCACCGTTACCGGTGCGGTTGTAAGGGCGGCTGTTGTAGCCATTGCCGACGCTCTGGTTCATGGTGCTGGTGCTCGGGGCAGTTCCAACAGACGCACGGACGGCGGGGTTGTACAGGATAGTACCGGTACCGCGCTGCCAGTCGTCAATCAAGCACTTTCCGATCTCCCAGACGGCCTTCTCGATACCCTCGGGGGTGCCCTGCACTTCGACGATACGCTCGGTCGACTGGGGGAGCATTTCCTTCTGCGCGACCATGCGCACGCCCGACGCATCCTGAATGTGCTTGATCTTGAGACCTTGGCGTCCGATGATAGTACCCATCTGGTTGTGCGAGATCAAAAGCCGAACGGCTACACAAGAGTCAGTTTGATGTAACTAGCAAACGGTTGTTTAATTAGAAGAATTGGATGACTTACGGTGAGTTCCATTGTTGGACACAATGCCGCCCATGCCCATCTGAGGGGCGCCCTCGAGCAAACCCTTGGCAACCAAAGCATAGGCTCTGGCAGTGCCGTTCAGAGGACCAGTGACGGTCAAGACGCGGTCATGAACACCAGGAACAACCTTGCTCACACCAGCCTTGACGCCGGTTTCGTCACGCAGGTCAGCAACGTTCTTGCCAGACTTGCCGATGATGATGCCGGCTTCCTTGGACGAAACGATGGCGCGAAGAGTCAGCATAGACTGAGCGTACTCTTCCTCGGTCTTGGGCGTCGTCTCAATGTCGACATCGTCAATCATGTCGACGTTGTTCGGGGAGGTCTCGTCGACCATGGTGGTATCGTGCAACTCGGTAGGGTCCATTATGTCGGTAAAAAGAGGAATGGTGAGGTTTGGGCGATAGAAAAAATCTGGGGATAGAAAAGGTAAGGTTTTTCGTTGACGGAACTTTTCCCACGAATTAGTGTTGGCACACGGGAGGGGAGTGATGATTTTCGCGAGATGTCACGGTAAAGGGATAACACAAGGAAAGAGGCAAATGAGGTGGCGCGCAGGATTGGAGCGGAGAACATGAGGCTCTTACCTAAAGTCGTAAAGTGAAGCAGAAAGACGATGAAAATCCGAAGAGATGAAAATTAATCTGCGAAATCCGGGAAGGGAAGCAGGAAGTCGATTGGGTGGCCGGAGAGGGGGCGAAGAGGATGGGATTCAGAGGGGTTTTCGGCGGGCGGGGGAAAAGGTGGAGGGATTTGGGAGATGGGGAGGGGAGACGAAGGGACGTCGGAAGGAAGAAGGGAAGGAGAAAGAGGAAGAGGTGGAGGGAAGAAGAAGAGGAGGAAAGGAGGATGGAAGAATGGAGAGGAAGAAGAGGGAGAAAGAAGCAGAGGGAAATGAGGAGGGAGGGAGGAGGGAGAGATGGGAAGCGGAGAGGAAGTGGTGGGAAGCGAGCAAAGAAGGAAAAGGTGGAAGAAGGAAAAGAGGAGGAAGAAGAAGAGAAGAGGAAGAGGAAGAGGAGCGAAAGAAAGCAGTCACTCACTCACTCACTCAGTCGGCGCTGATGCGACACCTTCGGGCTTAGTTTCGTTTTTCGGTTCACTCGTGCGGGAATCAATCAACAAGGGCTATGCCTGCTGTCTTTCCATGTCCGCCACACTGCTGGCTCGCGCAAATCCAGCTTCATCATTCACGCTGTGTGTGATCTATCTATTTTACTTCTACTTCAGGAAAATTCCCCAATTGGTCTTCTCGTCGCGTTGGTTGAGATGCTGGTGCTGTACTGCTGTGGCTGACGCTCGCCTGGTATCCTTGATTACTACCACCACATAATAATTAACGGACATTTTTGACTAGACTGCATGTCATGTAAAGAATTCAAGCGCTTCTTATCTTCATGGGTCTAGCGAGATGCCATTCTTATTCTATTTGTCCGCCTCGAAAATCACCTTTTGCACCTTCATGGCGTTGAAAATCTCATACGCCTCAACCGCCTGCGACAGGGGCATGATCTTGTCGGCCATGAAGCTATTACCACGCATTCGTCAGCATTTGCATTCATTCACCAGAAAATTCCACAAAATCATTAGTAAGAAAGAGTGACATACCCAAGACGATGCTGGTTCTTCTTCAGAACTTCCAACGCCTCTTCCGAAACGGACCGCACAGGGCACCGGCCCATCTGGACCGTGAGGTTCTTTCCATAGGCCTCACATCCATTCCACGGGATCTGACAATATCCCCAATCAATATATAGACCTCACAAAGGACTCGAAATATCACTCACCTCTCCATTGTGCACACCAACACTGCTAATGGTGCCGAACGGCCGCAGCAGATCATAACCAGTCTTCAGCGCCGGACTCAATCCCACCACCTCAATGACAGCATCAGCACCACGTCCCTCCGTCAACTCCAGGACGCGCTTGTCGAGGCCTTCCCGGTCAGTCAGGAAGTTCCAGGGCTCAGCTCCCAGCTCCCTGGCAAGTTCCAGACGCGCAGGGACGGAGTCAACCGCCAGTAAATGCTTAGGCTTGTACTCCAGCGCATTGATCAACGCACAGAGTCCGACTGGCCCGCAGCCGATGAGGACAACCGTCTGCTCTGCGATTTGCTCCTTAGTAGAGGTCTTGAATGCATTCCGCGCGGCGAAGTAGCCAGTCGGGAAGATATCCGCCATGAGGACGAGGTATTTCTCGTCGACGCCCTCAGGGGCTTTGACCACCGATCCATCCGCATTGGGGATTCTAATCTGAGCGCAGGTTCCATCACCGTTAGACACATGCTCCGGGCATCATGGCGTACGTTGAGATAAGATAGACTCACATATTCGGCCTGAGCACCATCCAGATGGTCGCAACCCAGAAGCATATTCTGTTCGCAACGGGACGAGTATCCTTGTTTGCAGTAGTAGCACTTCCCGCTATAAGAGGCAGCATGCATGCATTAGTATAAACGCCTGCAGCGATCATCAAACCAAATCCCTCCTGCAGAGGGGGGGGGGAAAGACAAAGACAAATTGAGTGACCTACCAGGACGTCGTAAAAGCACTCACGACCTTATCCCCCTTCTGGACAGACTGCACAGCATCGCCCGTCTCAACCACCACACCAGTAACTTCATGGCCCATCACATAGCCCGTCCCCGAGGGCTCTATGCCACGGTACACATGAAGGTCACTACAAAGTACCAATTAGCCTCTCCCCTCCAACTAGACAAAATAAATAGTAAAGGAAACCAACCTCCCACAAAGCGCCGTATAAGTCACCTTAACCAAAATATCCCCCGCATCCTGAATCCGAGGCACGGGGCGCTCCTCAACAGCGACCTTATAAGGGCCGCGGAAGACCACCGCGCGCATAGTATCTTTCACAGACATGATTGATTACCTTCTCCGGGAGCTGAGGAATTCAAAATTTGGAAAGTTGAAAGAAACAAGCTGTATATTGTCCAAAGCTAACTCTTAATTGAAGAGAAGAAGAAAAAGAAGAAAATAGAAAGAAATTTCTTAGAATTCACGCATCCGATAAACGGACACACCCCGCCAGATTATTATTACACTTATTTTCCCGCCCCTCAGTTTCGTTTTCCTTGTCCCCATGAGAAGAGGGAAAAATGAAAGGTCGGAGGGAGGCGTTGGTGGGTCCATTTCCCTTCCCTCGCCCTCGGAGTTGTGAGCGACCGCGGATGGCGGCGAACTGGGCTGCTGGCATGGTGGAGAGAGAGGGTGTTGGAGTAGAGGGGTAGTATGTCCAGGATGGAACTGTGTGATTATTGTACATATTTATGGTAAGTAGGTATTGCTAGGCGATTCAGCAGTATATAAGATAGTAGAGAAAAAGATGATGATTAGTGGGGGATGAGACAGGTACTTATTAGTAGTTGTTTGACGGCCGGGGTCCCCGCGGATTTAAGTACTCATGATATAGTGATAGTAGCAATTTTCGGATTCCCCCCGGGTCCTTCTTTGACTTGAGGGATCTTGAATCTTTAGTGCCTAGCGGAATTTCTTGTTACATACTTAGTTTTAAGAGGTCCTTGTAGTAGGAATTCGGGGTGGATGTTGGCGAGATGATATGGTTACATTTCGTAACTATTCTACAGTCGGACCATTTTTCCGGTTCCCATGTCCGTCATTCAACTTCTGCATAGTTTGCCATGCAATTTCTTCAGACTAACATCTATTTGATTCGTTTGTAAGATCAGTAACAGGCACTGTTCTTGTACGGTGTGCTCCAAGCGATGCTCGGAATTCTCGCCGAGAATGTCCCCACTTCGCGACCAGAGTTGGGGACATGGGCATTAGCGGTTCAGGTCGCAGTAAGTACCATTTATAAAGCTATCGGCAAGAAGGATCAGCATGAGCAAAGATTCATTCAAGGGGTGTTCTGGAAAGCCGGGCTTCTGCTATGCATTGAAATCAGGTCCACCGATTGCTCCAGTTCTGCGGTGAACTCCTTGCGCATCAAGGAAGCGGTACTCCATCCAACGCCATACACATTGCGCCACGACAAATATAACAAAGAAAACGCTCACTATAAGTATCAGCCCTTCGCAGGTCTAGTCTGTAGACCTTCGCCCAGGTGTCTTGCATGTGAAACCAGCATGCTACGTCATCAATATCCCTGGAAAGAAGATGGACACTCCGGCACACATCAAGGTACCTAGCACACCACGCACAGCAATTCTTCTTCCAGTATAAATTTCCCCTCTTTATACTTCTCACTGGCCTCGTATGCTTTGTCATACTTCCAGCCCACCGTCTCCTTGCACTGCCTGCAGTGAATATCACGGACGATATGCCTTCCGGTGGTCATGCTACGCTCCACCGCTTCAGACGAGGTGATGTTGACGACATTGCCGAAGAGGTATGCTTTGCCATGCTGGCCGCGGAAATTCTGGATGATGGTGAAGATACATGGTCAGTAGGTGTGGGGTATATATCATGGCAGAATCTCAACTTACCCGGCTTATGATATCGTCGTAATCAGCGAGATGAGTTTTGCATTGCTTACACCCGAAGATTTTGTTTGAAGTAAGATAGATGTTGTATGCCAGACCCATTGTGTCCTGATCGTGCTTGTCTTCCCAAAGCCACCTGAACAGGAGACGCCCTGAAACGTGAACTTCGAATAGGGGATGGAGGTGTCCAGATCACGAGAGCCCCAAGCTTTATAGGAGTAAAGAGGGGCAGAAAGGATGCAAGGCGTATTCAAAGTCCTGCTGCGGCTTCGCTTTCTTTGCAAGAGGGGCTGAAGTTGCTTGTACGGTAATTCTCCAAAAAATGGGGACCTTGTGACGGATAATGGTGGTTGTCTTAGCAGGTAGGAGTTAGTGCTGGGATTTCGAACCCCAATATAATATAGCCTTCCGGTGAACTGCACTTGAGCTCAAGGGGAATGTGAGGTATTCGAGGGGGTGGTGACAAGCAGCTGCGGCTCGTCTTTGTCGGGAATAAGCGGAGATGGGACTAGGACAAATGAGGAGACGGCAGGTCAGCCACTGCCAGGTGGTGTTAATGATGCGGGAAGGGTCGACAGAGTGGGATAGAAACCGAAGGAAAAGGTCAGACTATCCAAAGTAAGAATATAGGTAGGAGTGAGCTGATTGGGGGGGAGGTATGGTGTGGCACAGGAAATGGCTGAGCAGCGAGATGGAAGGAGGTGAGTTGGAGGTGGTAATCGGGCAGCTGCTCCCGGAGCTGGGAACCCCCGCATCGGACCAGGATTAAAGGGAGCCAGGCCCCATGACGCCCGCTACATTTCCCTTTAGGATCATACTCTCCACCCGCTAGAGTAAGCTTGGCTAGTTCCAAAGTCTTTTCGGTCTCTCGTTTCTTTTCATCTTCATCCCCTGCTGTTGTTGCCGTGGCGAGCATAGTCCTGGTGATTTCGTCAGACTACGTTATCTCCATACCCATTCCTTATCGCGGTTATCACCGACCCGCCTGGTTGAGCCGATAATGGGAGCCTACTAACTGACCGTAGTATACCGTCTCTGCCGTATGCAGAAGGTGAGAATATGACCTGTTTAGTGACACTTGAAATCCACGCTAGATTCACCTGGATGCACCTGATGTGATAGTCGGAATCCTTGGCAACCCTAGTCTGGCTATAATTTTAGTACGGTTGACGAGTTCAAAACAGGGCTGAAACTCTACCTGTTTGCACGGTGCATTCACATCAAATGTGAAGTATACTACCACTTAACAGAACAGAATTCTAGTCACTCCCACGATGCAGTATGACAACATTAACCCTCTGTCAGTCAATATACTGCAAAAAGCACGCTGATGAGGCCTGTCTATTGGTCTTAATTCCAGATAGTTCAACGCGTCAGCTTTGCCCCTCTTTCCCGTTATATAATTTCCGACGTCCACATTTGTGATGCCTCATGTTTTCTGTGTCTGGAGAATTCCATCAATATTTATCGTGGATTCATGATAAAGAGGTCATATTGGTCGTTCATGCTACCTGCTAGATAGCTGTCTTCTGATGTCGAAACTAATTGTGCATCCCCCGTGCCAAAGTTGCTTCGGGAAATGTTTCATCACGATACACTTGATTCTATCTACTCTTAGTATCCTATGGCTAAAGGTACTTATGTTCAGAAGATCCCTTGTCCCAGTATTTACAGCAGAAGTCCAGGGTCTGGCAAATGACCCAGTAATTTTCAGCACAGCGACACCGGTCCCTTCAATGGTAGCAGCAGCTTCCGTACTTTTGAAGGAGTCCATCCGTGTAGCTACTATTAGCCTTGGCCAAGAACTGCGTTTGGCTCAACGCAGGGGGGTATAAGTGGTCCGTCATGTCAGATGACGTTTGTGCGGCTGATTGCGCGTATGAAGTCCTGTCTACCTTTGTCCGAGTAGACCCCTGTTTCTCTCCCAGAAATGCCTGCAGTCGGTATGACCCCAGTGCTCCGTCCACCATTCCCCGAAACTATCCTCGACTTGTTCGTCAACTTTGGGCAGCCTTTCATCTCGTTTTAGGCCACACAGAGCACAAGCGTGAGGCGCCTTCAAAGCCCCCTGACTAGCAGGAAGTGTCGTTACCCGAGTATTCTCCTGTATGACCTGAACTGGTTGTCGTTTGGTGGCTTGAACAACGGAGTTAAAGATTGCGGTCCGGTCGCGCCACATGGAAAGTACATCAACAGCTTGTTGCTTTTCCTTGATATCTTCGTTCTTGTTCACTGTGTTGAGCTTCATACCTCCCGACTTCCCTGAACGAGCCGGGCCAATCCTCATGCTCTGACTCAGTATGGAGTCCCGCTTCCACCGTAGGCTTCGGCCGGCAACAACCCGCGCGGCAGTTTTTAGAGTATAGATGATCAGAGTCGCAGTGTTCTCAAGTTGTTCCTTTTGTTGCATTTCCTTTCTTGCTTTGGTGGCATCTTGCCGAAGTTCATCCAGTAACTGAGGAAATAGCTCAAGCAAAACAGATGGCGGAGGTATATTGGTCGGACGAACTTGATCGGCTGTTGTAGGATGACTAGATGTTGGGAAAGAGCTTGTTGTTTTCGATGGACCAACCGTAGACTTCGGGGCCTGCACTTCCTTGCGAGGCGCCCGGTTTACTGAGGCTGTAGCACCTGAGGTGCCTGTTTGACTGGGAACTGTAGGCGGACCGTCAACAAAGTCGCCCCAATCCTCGAAAGGGTCTTCCTGGGTAGAAAGAGCCGGTTTGAGACTTGGCAGTTCCTTTTTGCGTGCTTCAGGTACCATCCGATTCGCAGCGGGCGTCCGCTTAGAGGATGGGGGTATATCATCACTTAATGACAATGAATCTAATAAGTCGGAAGGCGCCGGACTTCTCGCAACTGGCGTGAGCTTAGGTTCCTTCATGACCCTGTGAGACTGTAACTCGGCATTTGCTGGTGATTTAGTAGCAGCCACGTCCGCACTCTCGAATTCGCCCCAGTCATCGCTTGCATCATCTGGAACACTTTCAAGGGTGGCATCGAATAAGACATCATTTCCGTGTCCGTATTGGGTCAGCCCTGAAGTACTAGGCGCCTTGAAAGCTGAGTCGTCCCAGCTGTCGTCGAAATGAGGCGATTTCGTTGCATTTTTATTCGGGATGGATGAAGGACCGGTGAAAGATTCTTCAAATGCATCCAAACCAGGGATCAAGGAAGTCGACTGTAACCCGGCGGACTGCTGACTTGAACCTCTCTGGGATGGAGGGGGAGCAGCCCCCATACCGAACTCTGCAAAAAGATCTGCAGACATAATGTTGTGTATGATAGTAGTGAGAGACTATGTAAATATATTGACGGGAGATAAGGCGGATGCACTGTAGTAGTGATAGGTGGTTTGCGGCTTGAAGAACGAGAGCACATCTAACAATAAGTGTGTCGCAAAAGTCGAGGAGCAAATGAAAGCAACGCCTTGAACTTCCTTCAGGCTCTATATCCGAAGCGATGAGCGCCTCCAACCCCAAACTAGACAACTCCCCGGCGGACAGATAGAGAAAGCGTGACCGGAAGTGTGGCTGCTGAGCTAGGGAAGTTCCAAGGCGGTCCACTAGCAGCTCCTCCACACGATCGCCGCTGGTACTTAAATTGCGGGCGGCACCGTGTTTCTGTCCCCTCACTCCTCCAAGCGCTAGCCAAACACGAGGCAGGCAACTCATTCCGGCAAGCAGCCATTTGGTGAAATGAGGGGCATTGAGGAGACAAGGTATACCCATGCATCAGTCCCCCATCTGCAGCACAGATGCAGCTAACGTATCGGCCAGGCAACGATGGAATACTTTCTTTCGCGACAATAACCACCCCGCCGATATCCGGACTGCCCTTCGGTCGGAACAAGGAGATAAACTGTGCGAGGATGGATTGAGGTCTATTTGCTGGAAGGCATGCGCTTGTGGCCATTATGATCTGGTCATCGTGCTTACCTGAGCGTAGGCGTTTCTGCTTTTCGATGATCTCGACCGAGCGCAATGGCCGCAGAAGATCGCCGATTCGCGAAGTGTTTATGTCGCCCTGAAAGCCCATTTCTTGAAATACATCGAACATCCAGACGACCTGCAGTCGACAGTTGATCCGCTGGCGGACGATGAAACGGTATGTTATCTCTGGCTACGCTGTCGTTGGCGGAAGACTTGACCGGCTGATGAGAGGTCTTTGTTAAGTCACCATGGCAAACGTTACGTGATGACGAGCAGTCGAGGGCGGATATCGCCCAGGACGTCGACCGATGTTTACAGGAAAACTTCTTCTTTCGCGAGCCCTCTACCAAGTCTAAAATGATCGACATCTTGTTCATCTACTCAAAACTGAATCCCGACTTAGGCTATCGTCAAGGCATGCATGAGATTCTGGCTCCGCTCCTTTGGGTCATTGATAGAGACGCCATCGAGCCAAAGTCACTGCAAGAGTCCAGCGCCAAAGAAGCTGATGACGACCTGATGCATATTCTCCTCAATGCCGATTATGTGGAGCACGACTCTTTTACATTATTTTGCTCGGTTATGCAGAATGTTCGCGTGTATTATGAGCATAATAGACACCGGTCAGAGAATGGCCAGGCGGATGTGATACCGATCGTTCACCAATGCCACCGCATTCATAATGATTTGTTGGTAACCGCGGATTTGGAGCTGGCGGATCATCTGCAAGCCCTTGAAATCTTACCGCAGATATTCCTCACGTAAGTACAACTCGCTACGCGACTCTTGGATTGCAATGCTAATCTTAGAAAGGCGCTGGATGCGTCTACTGTTTGGTCGAGAGTTCGCTTTCCAAGATGTTCTTCTCATTTGGGATCGCCTTTTCGCGGAAGGGTTACGACCCGAACTCATAGACTTTGTGTGCGTCGCCATGCTGCTACGAATCCGATGGCAACGTGAGTTACATTTGCTATGCAGACTGTTTGCTACAAGTTGCTGAGTTGATCTAGTGTTGCGCGCCGATTCCTCGAGTGCTTTAGGTCTCTTGCTTCGGTACCCTTCCCCTCAACCACACGAACCTCTAAGCTTCGTGCATGATGCGATATACCTGGAGCAAAACCCAACGCCTGATCGAGGCGTCTTCATCATTTCCAAGTATTCCGGAAGACCGCCGGATCCCACCAAAGGACTTGGGCAACCAAATTCAAAGCATATGAACAGCAAAAAGTTCCGCCTGCGGAGCGTCTCAAGAGATCTAAGCGAAAGCAGCTCCCCATCCAGGTCACCTGCAAGGAATAGCCCCAAGAGTCTGGAGACGCTCTTCCAAGACGTCTCTGAGGGCATACAGCGTCGAACAGAGGCGTGGGGTGTAGCCAAGGCTGTCCGGGGTGCGGTGAGTGAAGCCAAGAGAAACATGCAATCTATCCAGTCGGAGCACTATCCCCGGACTGCACGGCATGAACCGTCCAGCTCAACTATAGGCATGCCGTGGGACCATGGCACCGACATTGCAGTCCAGTGGAAGACGAAGGTTGAACAACTGGAGGAACGAAACAGGAAGCTTGCCAAAAATCTCGGCAATGCCTTGAATGACATCCGGAGCCACTTGATGAGAGCAGAAGGAATCGATAAGAAGACCACGGACGCCTTGAAGAAGGCGCTCACCCAAGTTCAGTCAGTCCAGAGCTGTCTTGAAGACTCTTCCATCCCTCCAGGTACCGTGGAGCAGGGTCCCAACGAAAGTGGTGAGGGAGACCAGGAATCGCTGTCCGACACCTCTAAACCCGCGAGTGAGCAAGCTGAGACGGTGCTCGACAAAGCAAGTGACGCCTCGTCAGCGGCGCGCAAACCTAGTGTGTCTGCGAAGTCATCACGATCGTCCGTTGAATGCGAAACGAAGACTCGTAGAGCATCGAGCAATGGCCAGATTCCCTCATCCATGCCACTTCGACATGCCGTACGTCCATCACTGGCAGATTCGGAGTTTTCGTGGATGCTCGGGGGCGGGCGACAGTTTTCGAGTTTCGTTAGCCCGGCATCCGTGCCGCCCGAACAGACCCGACATGGAGAAATGCGAGCCAAACCGAGTACTCTATTTGGCAACGGTGACGAGGAGCATGGAAGGCCTGACGCTGAGGCCGACGGATTGGCGCTGCGGAGTCTTCGGGGACCCAAAGCCCGTGAATAGTCCGGATGCGCTTTCTGTGCGACTCAATATATATTTTCTCGAAGTCAGCCTCCGGCATTCTTGTTGATCCGTTATACCCATTGTCGTTGTTGAGGCGACTGCATCGGACTACAGATTTTGCTTATTTCTTTTGCATACTGGCTTGACAGGCCGCAAATGTATTATCCGGTCCAGTTGATCATAGCGTCTGTCTCAAACTTTTTCCCCCTATTTATCTGCAAGAGATTATTATGAATGTACAAAGGAAATGAGGATAAAGTGGGAATAGCAGACCGGACGGGAGCCTGGAGCTAGCCCGACTATTGTAGGCAACAAGAAATACAAGTGCCCAAGCAGGAACCTGACTTGCGTAAGTTGTCGACGAAATCTTCGGTACTGGGGCCCTTTGATCGCATGGATCTCCCATGGAAGCAACGCGGCCTCCACATGCCAGCGTGACTGGCAGACGTTCTGACTTCTAAGGTTCCAAACGGTGTCTTTACTGTGCAGCCACGGCGAACGCCAATTGGTCTGGAACCCGCCGGTGAGCTTAGTGCGGACGTGTACAATTGATCGTCGGGGCCTTCTGTCTAATCACTTATGGAAGTCGAAGGTCGGTAGTTCCCTGTGCGGTTGGCCCCAATCAAGTCAAATGCATCATTCGGTGCTTGCGGCGATCTACAACCGCAACGGGGGCTGGCTGATCGAGTTACTTTGGGCCGCCAAGATGAGCAAAAAGTTGAATCATCCACTTTCTACCGGGGAGGTTAAAGGTAGTACGTACAGTAGCTAGGTTAGGAGGGGGGAGGGGAAATTTTTTTCGAACAGGAAATGATCGGAAGAATAATAATACATTGAAATAGTCCAGAAGCATGTTTTCGAAGTTGGCAGAATGGATCGAACCATATGAAAGTATACTAACTGATCGGTTTCGTCCGTAGCCCGTCGGGAATTACATCACCACCATGCATGGTTGGGTGGTTCCATTGGGGAAAATGGCTTGGAAGCCGTAGTAGTAGTTTAGGTAGTCTATTGACGGAGGGTGTTAGACTCAAGGAAGTTAGGAACTCAAGTAGTATCTCCGATGGGGGCGTTTTTTGGAAAGGGATTGATGGACTGCATTAGCGACTCCATAGTTTGTGGTTGTTGTCAATGGCTCGCATGGATCCAGGATGGGTATTGAGGAGGGAGGGGGGGGAAGAAGGCTTTCTTGCATTCTCTCTCTCTCTCCCCTTTCCCTACAACTTCCCCGACCGTGCCGGACCACCGATATTTGTTTAACCTTGAAACTACATTCTTAAAAGAAAAAAGAAGAAAAGTTATTGACGGGTTGGCAGGCTGGCTGACTACCAACGCTAGCTTGACTTCTTGACAGACTTTACATACTCCCGTTTGAGTCCGATCTACCATCACTACTACCATTATTACTTATTTTGTTCTTCCCTGACAGCTCCCCTCCTCGTGCGTGGAGCTGCCAAATAAGTCCCAAATACCCAACCTAGGTACTTACTAGACAGTCCATTAGACAAAACTACTAAAAGGGAGCAAGAGAAAGGATCATCTGAAACCTCATTTCCGCTGGTTCTTCTTCTAGTCTTACGTCCGCGGGATAACCAGAACGTCATTCATCCCCCCCCCTCCTCCCTCCGCGAAAGAAACATCGTCAAGTTAACATCTTCATCATCTTTCCCTACTACGGTCTCCACTATTTACCCACCCCAACTTACTCGCTTCTACCAAATTTTTCTTCCCTTTCCTTCCCCTACAACGGCATCCCTTTCTCCAGAGGATCGGATCCTCCTCTCACGGGTCTCCCCAATACTGGAGAGGCCATTACAACTTCCCCCTCTTCCTTGGCCAGTCTTTGGCCACTTTTTTTGTCGGTTCGAAGGCCCGGCGCCGACCTTACCTCCTTACCCTTCTACCACCCGCCACTGCAACATCTGCTTCATCTGCAGGCCATTGGGCCTCCCTGTGACTAATTCCCACCAACAAGAGACTCCCTTACTACTTAGGCTTTCTCCAGCTACCTTGTTCCTCTCCCCCCGCGTGCTACGCCTCCTTCGCAACTGTATGGTACCTGTGACCTCACGAAACAGCTGCCCACTCGACTTCCCGCCCGCAGTCCGCTGACAGCCTTTTTTAACCTCCCTCCTCCACCTTCACTGTCGACCACGGACTGACCGACTCACTGCAAGTCTCGTTTGTCTCATTAAGTGCATTGAGATCCCGACAAGCAGGAGGGTTCTGGTTAATCTTTCTCCCCCTCGCAGTAACTCGTGATTTTATCCCAACGCACCGATCTGCAAGTGGAAAAAAAAAGAAAAAACCAGGGAAAGAAAAAAAGAGACCCCGGAGCAGAGCAACAGAATCGTTTTCCCTATAAGATAACCAAGGGAGGCAGACAGACAAGAAAACTTGCAGGTCTCGCCAAACAAACCGCCGTGGATGGTCAATGTTCTGTTATCCCATGTAGCAATAAATCTCGCCGTCATTCTTTCCTAGCCCTCTTTGTTTTCAACTCATTACGAGTTGCGCCGATTTGAACCGCTTGTTGTCAATCGGTCTGGTCGGTGCTGGCCCCTACGCTCTCATTTACTTGGGAAAATATGGGTTCTACTTCCTATAATCCCGATGGTTAGTCTCCCATTTCTGTGATCGTTCTCTTTGATCAACACCCTTTCCGCTGCTTCTCCTAGCGCACCAATCGAGCAGGGAAGAGTTGTTGGCTTTGAGCAGGAAGAGTTCGATAGGTTTATGCAAATGGCGACCAAGGCGCTTCGGCCTAGGAAGGCAAAGCTGCAAGAGCGAAACGACGACCGTGTCGAACTTTCGCCGATGTGGTTGTCCAACCTATGGGAATCCCAGTCGACTTATCCAGACCGTTTACCCACATACTTGGATATGCATCTCGGAACAAGTCAGCCACTTCATTCCACATTGCTGAAGGGTGTATCCGGGAGGGGCGCAGGAGAAGCGGATGATATCACCATTAGCTAGGGAGCAAAGGGATGCTGGCAGAACAGAAGCTAACGACCTCCTGCCATACAGGTGAACCAAGCCCATTGTCGTCCCCCGTGGGACCCCTTTCCGCGTCGCCCGAGTCGGACCCTTTTATGAGACGCCTCTCTGGGCACACTGAGGACTCGATGAAATACTCTGCAGACACACTCTCCTCGGGCTATGATCATCTCTCCAGGTACGTGGCCGATGGGCGGGGTTCTCCTTGCAGTAGGATCGTATATGCATTTGCGCAAAGCACGCAGACAGGAACTAAAAGGAATTTTCTATTGCTCTTCTGCAGGTCTTCTCTGCTGGATCCTGAACATGGACTTGGCCCATCTGGTCTAGATCGCATACGTCAACAGCCATCACGCGTCTTTACCCTTCCGAACATGTCTGCCTCATCGCTCGCGCCTATGACCTCACGTAGCCATTCACCTTCACCACGCTCCGCTTCTTCGACCAGAGCCCACCCCTCACGCCTCCCATCGACCGAAGAATTCGGCACATTAGAAGATCTTCACCGCTTCCCGTGCGAATCGCTACATTCGTTTTCCTTTGCCCAACAATCCGAGGAACTACTGAATAACCGGCATAACATCCTGAAAAGGTCAATAGACTTCATGCGCGACCGCTTCGGCTGGAGCACCAGCAACAGTGCGGGGCTTGCTGGCGCTCAGGCTCGATTCGGTGGAGATGCTGATACCCAGAGCGTGGTGGACTACTTGTCGAAAACCAGTGTTTCGGGGAGGGATGACCGCTACAACTACGCTGGGTTATCGCGCGGACCTATGACCGGACCTGCTGATGTGGACAGTGGCAATATCTTTGAAAGGGCATTTGCAGAACCCCAGCTTTCCGCGAACCAGTTTAAGGGTATGGTCCAGGAGCAGGGACCGCCCGATGTCCTGCGTTCCTCGGTCCAGGCATCAGAAGATCTAGCGCCCCCGCTGAGGACAGACTCGAGGCCGTACCCCAGGCGCGTAAGCATAAAAAAACGTACTTATACCGAGGCTGGCTCTATTACTGCCCAGGGCAAGCTGATGGAAACTCTAGCACCCTTCACCGCCACGGACCCCTTATCTCCTACCAGTACCTCAAGTCTAGGATATGGTTTCCCCGTTCCTGTCCTACACACCCACAGCAGCAAGTGGACACCCGCATCACAAGCCGTGTTCAGGACCGAGTCGCATGAACCATGGACCATCTTGGCGGCGAATGACATCTCGTGTCTCATCTTTGGTGTCACACAAGCGGAGCTCCGCAAGCTAAGTATCCTCGAAGTCGTACAGAAAGACCGCAGACAGTGGGTTGAGTCGAAACTGCGGGACCCCACCACTGATGCTGCCGTAAGGGCCCAACCTTCGCCGGATAAAACTCGTGTCAAGCCTGTGAATCCGAAATCGATGGGAATGGGCAATGGTGTAACAGCGCAGCTGCTCAGCAAGCCTCCTTCTCGAGCAAGGGCTCCGAGGAGGGCCCAGACTGATGACGGATACGGCTCGAGCGCAAGGCAACTGAATCACCCGGCCACCAAGTCCCGAGGTGTACTGCTGTGCGGAGATGTGGTACCCATTGAAAAGCGCGATGGCAAGAGAGGCTCTGCCAGCATCTGGGTGATGGAAAAGCGTGGTGGGTTGATTTGGGTGATGGAGGAGATCCAGGAGAATGTCGCGTTCGTTCGCTGCGATGAATCCTGGAACATTGCTGACGCCACTGGTGATATTGATAAAGTCTGGGGTCAGGGTGCGGCGAAGACTGGAGAACGGATCACGGAGTTGCTTCCTAATCTTCCATCAGACTGCCTTGAATCTCCAATCGATCAAGGCCTCAACAAAATCACCGAGAAGAAGTACTTCGCTTCTCGCACGTCAGCTGGAATCTGCATACCGTCCACCATCACCAAGGGCGACAGCTCAAGATGCCTTCGAATATCGAGCTTTCCTCATGTCGCAGGTATGATGGTGCTATCCTCTTCGACTTTGAAAATTGTCAGCTCCAATTCCGTCTTCTCGTCCGCGCTGTTTGGACATGAGCGACCTGAAGGCCTACACGTTAATGATCTGATACCTGGTTTCGACGGCTTGCTCAACGTGCTCACCGAGGAGGAGAGTGTACCGCTGGTTGACGGTCTGGTGATCTCTGAACCCAGCTTCCGGAGAGCGCGTACCCTTTCTATTCTTCGCGATGGCAAATCTAATGTGGCCTCGGTCTTCCTAGAACCATCTGGCCTTGCTGCCGTGCATCGCGATGGCTCTTCGATTGCTGTAGATGTCCAGATGCGTGTGGCCAAGAGCGGTACAATGTTCCCCAAGGCACGAGATGATGCCACTTCGGGAGACCACAGCGACTCGGAGTTTGAGGCTGTCACAGAGCTTGTATACGCACTTTGGGTGACATATTCGAGACATATCCACTCGGCAGCTCCCGCGGCTGGCTTCCCTTCTCCGCCGTCCCGAACAGAAAGCCCGTCTTCTATTTCTGCGTCGAATCTGGCTTCTACAACGGCTTTTACTCCTTATGTTATTGGCTCGGAGCGGACATCGGTAGAGACGCACATACCGACGTCTACTTTAAGCCAGCAGTTGAGTGAGGCAGCTTCGCAACCGTTAACAGACAAACCGGTTCAGCCAGTGCCCGAAGTAAGACCGGCTGGTACCAAAGAGGTGCCCCAAAAACGCACAATTGCCGATTACATTATCCTCGAAGAGATGGGTCAAGGAGCCTACGGAGAAGTCAAGCTTGCGCGCATGAAGAAGATTCCGACCAAGAAAGTCGTTCTGAAGTATGTTACGAAGAAACGGATTCTTGTCGATACATGGACCCGCGATCGTCGTCTAGGAACGGTACCATTAGAAATCCATGTTCTGAACTATCTCCGACGCGACGGTCTGAAACATCCCAACATCGTGGAAATGGAAGGATTTTTCGAGGACGACATCAATTATTACATCGAGATGACGCCACACGGGCTACCTGGAATGGACCTCTTTGATTATATTGAGCTGAAAGCGAATATGGATGAGGCGGAATGCCAGAGCATCTTCAAGCAGGTTGTGGATGCAATTCATCATCTCCATACGAAGGCTTTGGTCGTGCATCGCGACATCAAAGACGAGAACGTCATTTTGGACGGGGAAGGTCGGATTAAGCTGATTGACTTTGGGAGTGCCGCCTATATCAAGAATGGACCCTTTGATGTGTTTGTGGGCACGATTGGTAAATAACCCCACCTGGAACCGAATACAATAATTCTAGAAAGCTAACTTGTTGAAGATTATGCGGCACCTGAGGTTCTTCAAGGCAAATCCTACCGAGGCAAGGAGCAAGACATTTGGGCCCTTGGTATCTTACTCTACACCATCGTCTACAAAGAGAATCCCTTCTACAATGTTGACGAAATCTTGGACCACCCTCTTCGAGTTCCGTTCTTGCCCTTCTCGGAGGATTGCATCGACCTAATCCGGAGGATGCTTGACCGAGATGTGGACAACCGGCTGACGATCAGTGAAGTTTTGGAGCATCCATGGATGATTGATAGTTGAGCACTACGACAAAGAAGATGAAATGCGCCATGGCATGATACGTTGGATGATATTGTGCAGCTTTTCAGATATCGCACGCCCGCCTATACAAAGACATGGTCTTTCTCAATCTTGCTTACACTTCCGTGACGTTGAAGATGGTGATAACGAGCAGCGTATGCGATGACTCCAGATGCAATGGAATTTATGAATGAAAATGATAAAAATGGATGGAGTCGAGCAGGATGAAACGGTTCAAGGGCATATAGGAGCGTGGGGGGAACGTGCGGATTGGGGGCATGAGACGGGACGGGAATCATTGGGAACGGATGATAACGAAAATGCCTGAACAGACCGAGAGGCCCGTGGGTCATTTGTATAGAGGTTTACGGAGGCTGAGATACCCCATTGTCATCTTGTTATGCTCTTTTGGTTAGATGATGTTCTTTTTCTTTTCTTTTTCTTTTTTTTTGCATTTACTTGGACCATCTTTGATACCATGCATGGCCCAGGGGTGATGAGAATTGGCAGTACATGCATATGAAAGATCCGATATACCCTCAGCAGTGGTGTTATTTTCTATTTTCTTTTTCTTTGACACGCCAAGTGTTTACATGTTTTCTAAGCCACAAGGAGCCAGTCTGCAGTTTAGAATTAAGCGGGCACGAATAGAGAGACACGACCAATTCATGCACACTCAATCAGCCAGTTACTTTCTTACTTTCTGTTTGGTTCCAGTCCGTATCCCACATGGCGCGAGGATCTCGCCGGGCTTGCTTACCTTACCAACTGCGGGGGTGGAAGCGGGGGAAGAAAAAAGCCAAAGACTAGTGCTCGTAAAAGTAATAGTCTAGCCATAGCTATACTAGTAATTAATCTATAGTCTAGCCAGTAAGTGAGGCAGTCAAAACTCGTGGCCGTCAGCCGCCTGAGAAACTCCGGCGTTGATCCGTGATGTACTGAGTAAGATCACACCAAATAGAATGAAGTAAGTCTGTCAGTAATTAGGTGCTCATCTCAATGTCTTTTCCCATCAGATTAGTAGCCAATAACCACACAATAGAGTGTAACTTGGTACGTAGGCTGTTCCTATACAACAGTAAAGAACCCAAGTGTACCCCGGGTAAAAGTAACACTACCTATCACATAACCAAGAGTAATCTCATCAATTAGTTTGTATGTGACAAAAGTGGATGAACCCGAGGATGTGAGGAGGGGTGGATATTGGTACTACTAGTAGATAGTAGATAGATGGGTGGGTGCCTTACTGGTTTGGGGCGTATTAGCCGGCGAGTCTGACCTGTCAGTCAGTCAGTCAGCCAAAGTCAGTCAGGTACGAATTCGATACCTCGATTGCAGTGAGGGAGTACGGTGTACGGTGTAGAGAGTTGTATCTATCTATCTATTTTGCACTGAGCTAATACTTTGCATGTATAGTATTTCCCCTTACCTACTCCGTGAGTTCAATATGTTGGTTGATTATTCGATACATTGATTTCTCTACCCCGTGTCCCATTACTACTCTCTTTCTCTCTTAGTGGTGGCGTTATCCACCACATAACTACTAGCTGTGTACAGTAAGTATCCGAGGGGCGAACAACGACGAGATAGAATACAACCTAGGCAGCAACACAATATC